CTGATTATTTTTAAGACGGTGGGGCTTAAGACGGGACTAAGGGATCTGCCGCCTGGAGCCCCGCTGGGGTGCTGGGCTCCTAGGGCCTGGAACCAGCTCTCTGCAGACCTCCCTCTGCCAGGCGCTCGGGCTCCCAATGAGGCTGCCAGCGCGTGCCCGGGGTCCGCCGCGCCTCACACCGCCGGGTTGCCGTGGGAACCGCGGAGCGCGGCTGCGCCAGCAGACCAGCCAGAGTCTGAGGGGGCGAGGGACACTGAGGCCCAAACATGGAGCTCCCGGATCCAGTGCGCCAGCGGCTGGGAAACTTCAGCCGGACCGTATTCAGCGACTCCAGCCGGACCGGGCCGGAGTACAGTGAGGGTCCGGGTGAGTGGCCGAGGCCCGAAAGGTGTGGCCGCGCGGGTTTGGAGCGTCCAGATTTTGCCCGGACCTAAAATGGCGATTTCGCCTTCAGCGGGTTCTCCGCGGTGTGGGGAGCCCCTTGGAGGAGGAGCTGGGCGCGGGTGCTGAGGCCGGGGCCCTTGCAGGCCCCCGCCTCGAGCCGGGCCTGGTCTGGTCGTGTGCCACCTGGCCGGTGCATTGCAAGCGCGGCAGCTGAGAGAGTGTCGCGTGAGCTGCCTGGGAGAGGACTCAAATAAAAATAAAAACGCCTCCTTCACAGCACACCCGTCCGCCAAAGCCAACGTTGCTTTTCCTCTGCACCGCCCGCCGCGCATTTCCAGCCAGGATCAGGGGAACAGCCAAAGCATCTCCCCTTCCTGATCCCTCAGACCCCACCCCGGTGATATAGACTTGCCTTTTGCCCTTTTCTAGCAGAAAGAATACGTTCCGCACGAGGCCGTTTTCCAGCAGAAGAAGTGGAAAAAGAAAGAATTTTAATGAGTCATTGTAAACCTCCATCCGCTGGAGTGTCAGCTGCCATACTAACGAGGCCTTCATCAAAACTCTCATCTCCCCTGCCTCCTTCTCCTCTTCTATATATAACTCTTCCCCCCAAATCTAGTAACAAAAATACCACAACGTAAAGATGCTACATTCAACCTGATGACAAGTGAAAATACAGCTTCCTCCGAAACAGTTCACACCCCTTAAATTATGATGATAGACAGCATACTGTCAACCAAACCTGTGTGGTTTTCATCATTGAGCTCAGCAGGGAAACAGCAAGCTTTTCCTCTGCTTTAGGAATTTTTACAAGGGGGCAGAGAAAGGCAAAGTTAGTTCCCATGATTGGATCTTGTCATCGTGATCACGTGCCTAGTCCCCAAATGTGGGCCTTTTTATGATCTAAAATGTGCAGAGAATAATGTGAAAAATTAGGTTTTGTCTTTTGTGATTCCAAGGGTAAGGATTAACAGACACTAACATCTGATAATACAAGGCATTAGGGGTCAGCAAATATTTACTGAAAAGGGCCAGGTAATAAATATTTCACACTTTGCAGGCCATATGTTCTCTGCAGCAGCCATAGGCAATAGTAATTGTATGGGCATGACTCTAAACCAATAAAACTTTATGGACACTGAAATTTAAATTTCATATGTTTTTCTAGTGTCATAAAATATTGCTTCCTGCCCCCCCAACCTTTTAAACATAAGAAAAACTATTTTTAGCTTACCAACTGTATGAAAACAGGCAGTTGGCCAGTAGTTTGCCTGCCGGATTATATAATGTTTTAATTTAAATTCCATTTACAGAACTCAACATTTTGCAAAATTTAGTAAATTTGTGTCTTGTGCTTTCAAAGTTCATTTACATATTAATTTGATTTTGAATTGCATGATTATAACTTTGATCTGCTGAAATATAGACATAGCGTAACTTTTAAGATGTTCATGTAATAAAATTGTAACATAAAAAATTGTTCTTTGCGAAATTTTAACAGCCACTGCCCCAAAGTTTAAACTAAAATTTTCAACTTAATTAATGCATTATTATTTTTCCACATTTTCTTCTTTGTGGATCTGAAATCGTTTTGATTATTTGTATGTATTAACAAGTTTATATCATTCTCAGTTCACACCTGGCCAAGAATTATACTGTTGTTATGAAAAAAAAAATACTGACTAGTGAGTTTTCTTTTGACTTAACTGATTTTTTAAAGAATTCATTCCTTTGTCAGTAGTAATTTAGTAAATTGGTATAAGTAAAAGATTATAATAACCAGGTATATTCTTGAAGCCAAAGGAAACCATTTTTCTGTGAGAGACCATGTTTTTAAGAAATTTACATTAGACCTTTGTAAAACCTTACATTTAGAGCAACCAATTTCAAAATATATATCTGCTCTTAAGAACAGTTAGATTTAGGAAGTATCTTGTAGGGCTCAATTTTAAAAAGTTAAATTCTTAATTTTGTGCTCTTCTCCTTTACATGAAAACAGAAGGTATTGTGTGATGAACTTAGATAAATGAGACTTACTATCACAATGGCTACCCTGATAATGAATATTTATGTTTTCATCAAGTCATTCTTTCTGCTTATGTGTATTTGGTATTCACAAAGTACAAAGCAAGATACTCAGTTCTATGAGGGTCTCAAATCTGGGTAGGATATGTCTGTGCTTACAATGAAACTATATTCACGTAGAAAAGGAAGGGGGACTAATATTTGGTGTTTACTAAGTGTGCAGGTGCCAAGGTGAAGTAATTTGTATTTCTAGTCCTCACAAGCAGTGGGTAAGGTAATTGTAATATCATTTTATAGATGAAATTAAGGCTCTAAAAGGTTAAATGATTTATCCCACGACTGGCATCCAGGCTCACAGGATCTTGGGGAGTTCTGGGTTTACATGGACCCTAAAGCCCATGGTCTCTTCAATGTACTAGACAGGGTGAGGGGAGAATGGTTCTATGCCAGCACTGTCATACACAGTGTAAAGTAATAAGTACCTAGAGGGAAAAGACATTTCTGCTGGGATGGGAGAATATGATCAAGAAAGGATTTATGGGAAAGGTAGCATTGGCTTGGGCATTAAAGAATGCATAGGATTAGGGTATGTGCCTACAATTTGAGGAGATTAGTTTTGTATGGGATTAGTTTATCTGTGATTCATTTTTATGTATTTATGTATTCATTTTATAGACTTCACAGAACTCTACAGAGGAGGAAATGATAATTATTATCTGTTCAACAGGACTTATCTTGATATTCCACATTTAATCTATACCAGTAATGTGCAAAAAAGTCAGCAGAATGTAATGGCAAGATAAGTAACTGAAGAATTTGAAACATACCCCCAAGTAACCAATATTTGAACTAAATGGTGTTAAGATGAATATTCCTTTTACTTTCAAAAATTATAAAGAGGCCTAAAATTTGTAGTTTTATTGAGCCAATATTACAGTTATGGATTCTCAGGAATGAAAGGATTTATAGGGCAGAGACTAGGATTAAGAGTTTGTTCCTTTTCTCTTTCTTCTGTAGATAATGAAATGGTCTCCAGTTTGGCATTGCAGATGTCGCTTTATTTTAACACTTACTTTTTCCCACTTTGGTGGGTGAGCTGTATTATGATGCTTCACATGAAGGTAAGTCTATGCTTTACCACTGAGGGCTCTTCTGCTCATCCCTAACGTTGTTCCATTGTCAATAAAATTAAAGTTCTTAATCTTTTTTTAAAATCTCAGGTCAGTGTTACTGTATGTGAGATTTTACAAACACGTTTTCCTTTTTTTTATGTTTTCAGTATTCAGTTTTGCCTGATTACTACAAATTCATTGTGATCACTGTTATCATCCTAATAACCTTAATTGAAGCCATCCGGTTGTACCTGGGCTACATGGGAAACCTACAAGAGAAGGTAGGCCCTTCCCTTTCTCTCAGGGCTACCCATAAATGCAACAACGTTTTCATGCTAGTACAAGGCAGTGAGAGGTGGTGGAAGGAGCACAGGCCTGAATTTAAGGCCTGGCTCCAACTTGACCACTCCTCTCACTGTAGTCTGTTTGCTGAATCTCTTTTTTTTTTTTTTTTTTTTTTTTTTTTTTTTAAAGAGAGAGAGAGAGAGAGAGAATTTTTCAACGTTTATTTTTCAGTTCTCGGCGGACACAACATCTTTGTTGGTATGTGGTGCTGAGGCTCGAACCCGGGCCGCGCGCATGCCAGGCGAGCGCGCTACCGCCTGAGCCACATCCCCAGCCCTGCTGAATCTCTTGAGCTCTGGTTTCTCTAAATATAAGATGAAGAAAATAATATTAATTTTACAAGCTTGTTGAGACTAAGTGAAATGATTTATGTAAAGTATTTGGATGTAGTAAGCAATTAAGAATTGATAAGTTTTCATCTTCATATTGGCCTTGAAAATATTTGGTCAATTAAATATGTCTGTCTGGATCCTGAATAAGAAAATGAGAAAAATCCTAAATTCATTTCCTTTGCCAGGCCCATGTTTTTTGAATCATTGTACTGCCTAAGCAAAAGCGTTTGCAGTTATCAGAGTGTTGGGATAATTTTGTGGTTTTTTAGGACTTCATAATTAGGCCACACCCAGCATATCTTACTGAATTTCTTGTCATTTCTTAACAGCAATCCATTCCAGGCCAATGTGATGATTTCCAGTTGAGTCATGATCATTTCTTATTTACCTTCTTCCCTCTGCACAACTTTAAAAGAATAGCTCCTTGGTATCTTTCTTTCACCTCCCCTAACATTGTCTTCTTGTAGCAAATATACTTCTAAATGTTGCATTTAATCATTGACTAAAGTGTACTATTCTAGTCCTGTTTTACATTGTTTGTTTTCTTATTCCACAGTAAGATCTCTAAGGACAAGGACCACGTCATACTCCTTTTGAATTACTCTTAGAGCCCATACCATAGGTTCATAGCAGTGCTAAGTACTCATTTATGTGTATAAACAAAACATGGCATTTTCCTGATCTAATCATATTCATGTGTATTATTGCAGGTTCCTGAGTTGGCTGGCTTTTGGCTTTTGAGTCTTCTACTGCAGTTGCCTTTAATTCTTTTCTTGCTCTTTAATGAAGGCCTAACGAATCTGCCCTTGGAAAAAGCAATTCATATCATCTTCACTATCTTCCTTACATTCCAAGTTATTTCAGCATTTCTTACCTTGAGGAAAATGGTCAATCAGTTGGCAGTTCGTTTCCATCTCCAGGACTTTGATCGGCTGTCTGCAAACAGAGGAGACAATAGAAGAATGAGGTCATGTATACAAGAGATTTGATTCATTGCTATTAAGGGAAAATCTGAAAGATGATTTTAGAAGACTACAAGAGTTAGGGGGAAACTCAGAGATATAGCATGAAAAAAGGACAAAGCAAGTTTTTTGAGTTGCGTGCTATCTAGCTCTGAAACCCCCAGATTGCGGGGCAGTAAGACTTTGTACAGTACACAAAAGCAGTATACTGATCCTAAGACCTAGATGTTGTCCACCTGCTGCTAAAGTTTTGTTGTTGTTGATTTTTTCAGGTGTGTAGGTATCTGTCTATTGTAGTTGTGCTTACCAGTTTTACTGTAATATTTCTAGTTAGAATCTATAACTAGAAAAGTGTGTATGTTTCTTCTAGTTAGAATCTATAACTAGAAGTGTGTATGTTTCTATGTTTCAATGATCATTATTCATTGAAGAGTTCCTATGTAAATTTGTCAGTTACCCATATCTTGGCTGTACATTTGACCATGTATCTTGAAATGAAAATGGTATTAGACTATATGTATAAACCAAGAGACCAAATCTTCAAGTCGGCTAGGTTAAATTAAATTCTAACCCTCATTTTAGTGTGTTATAATGAGATAAAGAAGAAGACAGGTGGATTATCATGGTATTTAGGAAATATTTTTGTGATAAAATTGTAACTTTCATAAACTCATTTTCAGTATTTGTGATGATGGTACGCAAAATGTTTTTACAATAAATTATAAACTATTTATGCTAAAGGATAAGCAACAGATCATTCCTGTGTTGTGTAATTCTTTTGTGCTATGGTTTTGTTTTGTTTTGTTCTGTTCTGTTCTGTTTTGGTTACAGAATTGCAGGGAAATGAAGGAGAAAAAAATATCAGAGCTCCATCTATGTAGCAGATTCTGTAGTAAACACATTAAATTAACCCTTGTGATATCATCTACTAGATCATTATTCATTGAAGAGCGCCTATAGATTCATTAAATTCACAAGAGGCTTGATTTGAGAGCTAAGTTGGCCAAAGGCTCATGATCCTAAATGAGCATGTTTCTTTGCAAATAGAAGAAAGGAATTAAAATAGATTAAAAAGAAAGTTGTGTGGGTATATCTGAACATTATTTTCTAGTGATATTGGGTTGTCTGAAGGAACATAATATTTTTATCTTAGATTTTCATTTCTACAGGGAAGTATACCTTTATACATAATGAATTTTACTGAAGGAATAGTAGCTATTTTAAAAACTATCCTAATTTTATTTTTCTTTTTTTTGCAATTCATGCTTTTCTTTGGGTTTCCATAATTTGCCTTATTCATTCTAATAGTGCTTACTTTAAAAAAAAGTCTTTGTTTCTCATTCATTCTTGATTATATCTGATCAAACTATTGTGCTAATTTTATTATTTCTGCTTTTTACTATTATATATAAATTTAGTCAAAGATTCTCCCCCATGCAGTGACGAATTAGTCTTTCTCAGAGTACTCATGAGATATACTGTAATAATTGGAAATTCAAAATATAATTCTCTGAATATTTTTCAAGACCTCACATTGTTTGCATTTATTTTTCAGATAGAAACAGATGATTCTATAAGAAAACAGAAATTTAAATCTACAAAGCATATAAATTAGGATGATCCAGAAAGACTTTACTATTTCCAAATTGTTTCCGGAGTTTTATTTTAAATAGCAGAGCCTTGGGTATATTTAAACCTAAGTTTATGATTAAGAATTTAGTTTATGATTTTAATTAAAATGTTAGCCATTATAAAAATTCTTAAGATGGTAAAAATTTTGAGAAAATGGTTTGCTTTATTAAAAATTTCAGGTAATTTTGCTGTAATAAACACATTGCTTAAAATACAGAGATAGTAAGGTAGGAACAAAGAAACAAAGAATGAAATTTGAGACCATGACCAGGTCATTTGTTTCTTATCTAATCAATAACCACGACTTTTGTGTTATGCCGAGCAAGTAACTTTTCTTGGAGTATTCCTCATTTTCTATCTAAAGTGAATAAAATTGAGGTAGAGCAGATATTTACATGTTACCACATTCAGTGTCTAGGCAGTCTTTATCTTGATTTCATTTGAATCTTTTTATATGCTTTTCTACTTTTCTACAAGGGCATGACGAAACTGTTCTGAAATTTTCTAGTTAAGATGTTGAGCTTTACAAGTATTTTGTTTTCCACATATTTTCTCTCATTTGTTTTGTCTCATCAGAGACAAAGTAGGTATGAATTCCTGTATATTAAAATGATTTTAAAATATTGAAATTTATTACTTTAATATGTGTTTGAATGCATGCCAAGTATATACAAGAAATACTCAAGGGTGCACAGACAAGATGGCTTCCAGTTCTCAGGGTTATGATATGGAAGGTAAAACATTTGCACAACAACTTAACACAAAGTGGAAAAGTATAACTTTATCAGGGAGGTACACTGAATGAGTTACTACCCCTTTAAGTACCTGAGGATAATAAACCCTTGGCTTCCCCTGCATTCCTCTCTGTGCTCATCCAGGTTAGCACATCAACATCGATTAACATCCACAATGAAGGGGAAGAGTCCATATCAGGTTAAATGTATACATGCTGACTCTCACCTGCCAGTACAAACAAGAAGTTGATTGTCTGGTAGAAAAGACAGATAGGCAAGTGAGTGATCACACTGTGTGGTGAGGCACTGTGGATTACAGAGAAAGGAATGTCTCCATGAGACCAAGAATCCAGAAAGCCTTCCCAAAGAAAGTGACAATTGAGATCTGAAGAATGAGTGGGTACTTAGCGCAGGAGTGAGAGGTAAAGGCAATAATGACTGTGAGTACCATAGCAGGTATTACAAGAAGTTTGGCAAAACTGGTGCAAAGAGAAGAAATGGCACAGAATGAGGCAGAGAAGCTTGGGAGGTGCTAGAATAAAGATTTGAATATAATGAATCCCTGAATAGATTAAACAGTGCAGTATCATAAATTTATTTGGGTTTCAGAAAGATCTCTCTGAAGACAGTGTGGGAAATTATTTGAAAAGGTTGGACTAGAGATAGAGAGACCAACAAGAACTTGAAGTTCTTTAGGAGACAACAAGCTGGCCTGGATCAAGTCAGGGACAGTAAAACTTGACAATAAAATAAGAACCTACTAAATTTTTAAAAAATAATGTTATGGTTTAAAATAGGTATTGAGAACTTTTTCCCAATTCTCCCTTTCAGACATGACTACAATGGAAAATAAAATGACATACTCTCTTTGCTTTCCTTCCCCAGTTATTACATTATTATTAAATTTAAGTTATGCTAGACTTAATCTACTTACATTATTCTTATTTGAATCCGTTAAGTTTATAGTTTATTAATTTTGGGAATGGGGATTGAACCCAGGGGTGCTTTACCACTGAGCCACATCCCCAGCCCTTTTTATTTTGTATTTTGAGACATAGTCTTCCAAGTTGTTTAGAGCCTCACTAAATTGCTGAGGCTGGCCTTGAACTTGCCATCCTCCTGCCTCAGCCTCCTGAGTTCCTGGGATTACAGGTATGTACCACCATGCCCAGCAAGATTCCAGTTTTAAAAAATTTAAATAGAATCACAAGATTTTGAGAGTGGAAAAAAAACCTTTGTTGTTCTACCATTCCAAAATAGCAACTGTTGGCAAAAGTGCTCTGTAAGTGCTTTTTTAAAAACAATTTTACTAGACATGATGGCATGTGCCTATAATCCCAGCAATTCAGGAGGTTGAGACAGGAGGATCTTACCTTCCAGGTCACCATCAGCAACTTAGTGAGATCCTATCTCAAAATCAAAAATAAGAGAGGTTGGGGATGTATTCAGTGGTAAAGTACCTCTGGGTTCAATCCTCAGTAATACCAAAAAAAAAAAAAAAGTTGTAATCATAGGCACTTTCAATTTTGTACCCTGCTTTTCTGAGAACAGTGTAATTATTTACCCATGTATCTACAATGTCACATTGCCATCATCTTAAATGATTGCACATTATTTTATCAAGTACATGGACCATAATTTAACTTTTCTCCTATTATTGAGTATTTGTGTTGTTTTCTTCTTTTGCATATACACACATACATATATGCATAAGTATAGCTTTTTACATATCTTAGGTGATTCTGTTTTTTTTTTCTTTTTTGGTACTAGGGATTGAACCCAGAGACACTTAACCACTGAGCCACATCCCCAGCCATTTTTTTTTTTTTATTGTATTTAGAGACAGAGCCTTATTAAGTTGCTTAGAACCTGACTAAGTTGCTGAGGCTGCCTTTGAACTCACAATCCTCCTGCCTCAGCCTCCTGAGCTGCTGGGATTACAGACATGCACAGCCACGCCCGATTTAGGTGATTTTTTTAAATTAATAAGCCAGATTATCAGAAGTAAAATTGCAGATCATAAGGTTTGAACATTTTTAAGGACTCTTAATACATATTGCCAAATTATAATCCACTTTCTATCATTTGCTACCCACTATTCTAAAAATGGTACAAATAATATTCCAACAAGGACAGGCTCATGGACTTTGGTTACCTGTTTGTATTGCTGAGTACCTACCACAGGAGCATTGAGTCTCCTGAGAAGGAGGAGGAAAAAGAAATTTAAAAGCTGTGAAAGGAGAAGTGCAAAGAATTTAAAAAAAAGATTTTTGAATTAAGGGAAAACTGATAAGGGACAGGAAAAGGATTAGGCAAGCTGGTGGCAGTCTGCAACAGACAGTGAGATGTGACACAATAAAAACTGGGTCATTGAGTTGGGACAGCCTTAGGACATAAAAAGACTGAAATGAAGTAAAGCTCTGGATTACTTTGTTCTTGAATATTGAATTTTTTCAGAAGCATGGAGCATGAAATATTATAGTGATAAGCCAAGATTGGAAACATAGCCAAGAAAAAGAGGTCTTTAAGGGATTGTTTAAAATGTGCTGAAAGAATAATTTGGTTTGGTCTTAAACGGCTCAAAAAGTAAATTGACATAAAGCTTTTG